GTTAAGCTTGATCTTTTCAATTTATGCGTCCCGGAACCCTGGGCCCCCGTTATATTTGTTTTTTGAAAACACATATAACATGTTTTTTCCGCATTATACGTCCCGGAACCAGCTATATTTCTTTTAGAAACATATAACTAAACTAAAGAAAATCCTGGAACCTTGGGACCCAGTTATATATGTCTTTTAGAGTAACTTGTTTTTACGATTATAAGTCCCGGAACCTTGGGCACCAGCTATAATCATGTTGTACTCACCTTTCGTCTCGGGACCTGATCACTCTTCTGGACTTAGCCTTAGTTCAAAGCTGATGAGCCTACACAACCTTCCCAGCATAGATCCAATTTACATAAGCTGTGTAAGGTGTCCAAGCGCAATCTAAATGAACAGGTTCTCAGCAGGAATTTTTACCCAATCATTGCTGCAGCATCAAAACACTGCATCCCTGAGTTTGTATAGTATAGTGCCACACATACCCCAACTTACCTAAAACTTTTGATATTTTTCTGGAATTTCTCGGCCAAGGTCATAAAATTTAGCACCTACCCGCATTTACTGAAAGGTCGACCAGCTTTTTATAATTGGGTCGGAGCATAGCTATGTTCAACCGCCGGACCAACAATGTCTTCTACTCTTGGCAACTCCCAAGCACTGGAATAAATGGGTACAGTAAGTCAGCGCAGCAGCTGACTCTTATCTGCAGGATTCCAAATGCCTTTTTTTGACACTTGTAGACCTAAATAGCCTGAGAGCAACAGCAAAAGGACCTGATGGCAAGTGATGCGCGCGCGCACACACGCACACAGATCACACGCAGCACAGTCTATTCGTTGCCAAGGTGCAGCATGATTTAGTTCTGCAAAGAGGCGAAGTCGCTGCACACCTTCTGAGACGCGCCCAACTGCCTGAGGGCGCTCACACTTTGATCCAGATTAGGAGCACCGGGAGCAAAGTGAGTTGGGCAAAGTGCAATTCAACCAAATACGCTATTTATGCACTCATGCTATTTATTGATATTTATGGACTATAGTAGGAATAGTCAATAGTCTTTGCATGTCTTTGCATGCTTCAAAGATCAGTCCTTCTGTTTGCTATATGCTTTGCTTCCTTCTACCTTCTATGCCGTGGAGGCAAGCCTGCAGCACTCGGAGCTCCAAGAAGGATGCCTCCTGCATCTGGCAGTTGAAGCGAATCGTACAAAAGAGGCAGCATCCTCCGGCTTTGTCATGTTTTGTCACATGTATGTACTTGTTGCTTCTTCGCAAGCAGTTCTTGAGAATGTGACGCAAAAGCCATGCGAACCTCGTCGGTAGGAGCATTCTCATCGATGGATTCCTATCCGGCAGCAATGAACTACAAGATACTACAAGCGCGCTCCGCTCCTGTGCACACTCATATTGCAAACCCTTTGCTAATGTTGGCCGCTAGTTTGTCTGAAACAAACACCATCGATCAGGCTCTTGTCGAAGCCAAGCGGGGTGGGAACCTCTTCGCAGGTAAACACATGGAAGCCATATCAGGTATAGTGCCTATCAAAGGCAATGTGTGCTCGAGTTGTGTACCCAAGGCTTTCTTCCAAGCCTCATGCTTAGAATGCCTCGCAGGACTTCCATGTTGCAAAAACATGCATGTTGTTATGGAACCATCGAGATCTGAGGCCTAAACAACAAGCATTCTTGCAAGCAATATCCAGGAATCAAGTATACAGCACACACACACACATATATATATATATATTCAACTACTTGTTTTATCGTGTTTTGTTTTGCTGAAGCCTTGTTTGCCGTGGCCGTATCAAACCCTCCAAGCCACGTGCCTCGATGTGGCGGCCAGACTGCAGCCCTTCGATCATCTTTTCCAAATCCTGACGTTGATTGATTGCGAACATTTGGGTATGTATACATATATATATATATAAACTTACATGAGGTGAATTTATTGTATATGTACACACCACTATGGTATGCTTTAGCAGCATCCAAAGTGAATCCAAATGGTGCTGGGTTCGAAAACGCTGTCCTTCAACTGCTGCTCCAGCCCATGTATACCCCTATCAACAAAATCTCCTCAGCACTTGCACATTCTTTGATGATACAATCAACAAGTTACTAACTCATATGAGATAACATTGAATATGACGGACATTGACTGACGCTCTTGTTGTAAACATCGTTCTGAGGCCGGCAGGCCTTGATCAAACTCAAAACATTCCAATACCATCAAAGCGACTGCAGCTTCAAGTGATTCCCACAGCACCCCGCAGCTGCTTAATCAGCGGGTGTGAGTTTGTCGGCTTTGGGTAGCCGGGCTGGATGTTGGTGCTGTTGAGGGGTATTGAGAAGGCCTTGCGAACAAGTGTTCGATTGAACTGTGTTCACCACATTTTACACTTGTAAGGCAAGTCTCCAATGCGCATGGCCTCCTCCTCAACCTGGAGAGTATACCCAGCAGCTTTAGCACGACGACGGCATCAACAGTTGAAATGCCAAACAAACGTCTTGTCCTTTTCAGTTTGAAAACTTTTTTTGGTGATATGAACTGCCAAGGCCAGGGTGCCGTCCGAAGCCAATCTGCTTCAGTGTAAGCTTCCTCCCCTTCCTTGGGAATGGCAGGTCTTTGTGGAGCCATTGTCATCAATTCTTCGAAATGCCCGGGAAGCTCTGGGTCCTGGAGCTTCTGAGTGATCTTTAGGGGGCACTCCAAGCTCCAGCCTTGCTGCTGAATCATTGTGGGCGACCAAACAGCCAAGCGTCCAAAGCACTTCCACCCACTCGACCACTGTGGGATCCTGCCACACATGGCAGGATAAAAATGGACAAAGAGCCCGTAGTAAGTAGCGTCCGTGAAGTATAAAAAGGCAAACTTTAGCCGCTTTAGCAACCTTCCATTTCGGCATTGCTGTGCCCTGCCAGAAGGCCGCTCATCTCGAACGGGACTGTGTACATGAACGAGTATATCCGAGGCGCCTTGCGATCTTGGTGTATCTGTCCTGGCATGTGCAAGCTAGCCAGGATTTTGATGAGAAGTCGAGCGATCAGGATCCTCGATTCCTACTGATCAGCACCAAGTCTTTTTTGCTCAAAGCGCTGCATTGGTTTAGGAGTAGCTGCCAGATGCCAGCTTCCAGTAAAGTAACAGTGTAAGGGCCGAGCGCCAACTGGCACTGGTATCGCCAGGTTTGTCACAAGAGCCCCGGAACTTTTCATGAGGCAAACAGGAGAAGGATTCGTTTGCCTGAAATTGGCCACTATGTCGTTACGTGTTTGCACGTGCGACGTGGATGTTTCGTGGCTCCAAAACCATGGGGCCAATGGGTGCTGAAATGGGGACTGGCTAGCAGTGATTGTTCTAGCACCCTCTAGCTCTCCATGTGGGCACTCACGCCTAGCCTGACATACTACCACAGAATCTCCAAGTCGCTTGCATGAGGAACACACTGAAAAACCTCTGGCCATAATTCCCTTGATACCAGGATTTGATTGTATATCCAAAGCCACTGACAAAAGGAAAGTGGACTTGCACTGATTCCATTGGTTTCTGGAATGTTTCTGGAATATTTTTTGAGCCACACCCACGTCATGTGTTAGGTCCTTAGGTATTATGAGCCAGGCTAAATCATCAGCCGCGCATCACTGCCTTGTGTGCGCTCTTTAAAAAAGCTCTGAGTCTTAAAGGATATTCCACCAGGCGTAATCAACACAGTTTGCACGTCCCAGTGGCGCAGGTCAGAGTGGGGGAAGGCGGGAAAAAACCCGCACGGCACCCCGTTCATTTCAAAAACTTGGGACCTCCAAATGGGTGGCACTCTGAGCGGAGGAACGCGGGATGGGACCCTGTTCGCGGCTTGTATGTACAAGCACCGCCAGCACCGTCTTCAAATTGTTTCTACCTTGTGACTGCCTCACAAGCTCTTAAGACTAGAGGAGTTTGTGCGGAAAGGTTCGGAAGGCAACGAAAAAGGTGGGAAGAAGGAAATCCACATGATCCAACTCTCGAAAATGCGGCTTTATGTCTCTTGACGAAGCCGAGAAAATTGCTTGAAAAATAGTATATAAAAACGACAAGCAGTTGGTTGCAGCAGGCCTCTGCTTACTGCTTCCAACACTGGAACAAACTAGTTGGCGACATGCTGGCTTCCCCACGATGATCTGCGACGGCTTTCACCAATTTTCGTGGATGGCGCTGGACGCCCTGGTCACAGGAAATGAAGCGAACAAAACGCATCTGTGTGGCTTGTCCTTCAATGCTGCAACATGCTATGCCAGCAATGCATTCTCATGTCCTTGAGGCAGTTTGCAGGCCTCTGCAACTCAACGCAATGACCCTGTGATACTGTCAGGGAGGCAGGGAGGTCAAAAGAAGTCAGCTTCAGCTGCGTGAATTCCGGGGGACTGTCAATGCAAGGTTGGCTGGGCAACACAAACCCGCTTTTCCCGCCTGGAGGTAATCATGCAATCGTTGCACAGCGATATCGTGCATCACTCGGTTTGGAGGGGCAGCTTCCTTCTCTGGAAGATTGTCAGGCAGTTCGCAAGTGTAGAAGGATGAGCGTGGAGATGCTCTCCGGTCCTGGCCAGCGCTGAGACCCTTCAATGCTCCTCAATCCGCCACAACGTCTGCGGCAAAGCGCATAATGTCTGCGAAGCAAATCAACCATAATCATCCGGCAATTGCGTTGGTCCGAATACCATGTTCCTCTCTTTTTGGTTTCTGATGTTTCTGACATATGCTCTGTTGATTGCTGGCATCATCTTTTGGAAATTGATGATCCAAAAAGATACCTCCCCCCAAATTCCTGGAACTGCTGTATTGCCAGATTCGCCCATCTGACCTCATTATTCTCAAACATGATTCAGCCATGACAACGCATTTGATACATGTCGGGTCCTCGGAAGCCAAAACATCTGCCAATGGTCTCAAACGTCTCCGCTGAGGTTGCCTGCCATGTGCGCCATCTCGTACCATAACGAAGTGGTTTGAGTGGTCAGGCTTCTTCTCCCCATCACAGCTGAGAGTACCTGCATGAGCCGTGGCAGAACCGGATGGCCCCTGGCACACTGTCTCGCTTCCTTGAACTGTCAACGTCACAGCGTCTGACCAAGTCTGACTGTTTTGAACTATTTGTTTCAACTATTTTTTGAAAGTTTGTTCCTCCGTCCAGCCTGGATGACAACCATAGGATGGAACGTCAGTGTCCACCACAATCTCCTCGGGCTGGCAAGGTGCCTCCAAGAAAGCCAGTTTCCCATCCTGCAAGCATTTCATTTTCTACATGTGTCTGATGACTTGCTGTAAGTACCTTTCTTTCTTTTTATCTTCTTTTATTTTCTTTTATTTATTTCATTCTCTCTTTCTCTATCTTTATTTTTTCTCTCTCTCTCTCTCTCCCCTCTCTGTTTCGCACATTGACTCAACTTTGAAGACAAATCAGCCTGCACAGCCAACAGGCATGATACTCAAAGTCACACAGCAAACACTGATGTCCTGCAGTTTAGTTGACTCGACTTGCGGATGACCTTGGGAATCTTCTCAGCAGGAATGATGCTACAGTGTTGCTGTACCGTGCTTGCGCATTTTGCTTGTCACACCTGCCGCACCTCTTGAATCTGCTTCTATATGCACATAGTGTGGAAACACAGTGCCACGGATACTCCACCAACTGTGTGAAGAAGTGGAGGAGCAACAATGCAAGTGGTATGCAACAGTGCAACACTAGCAATGGCGCAGAATTGCAACATTACAAGCTAGTCTTGGCACACATGTTTTCATTTTTTGCTGCTTGTCCTTCGCTACCCTTGCACGGTTCGAGGTTCGAGGGTCGTTGGTGCAGTGCTGAGTTGTGTGCTCAAGAATCGAGGCAAGGCAGCCGTACATCCATACGTTTAATACAAGTGACCAAAAGGATCCAAAAGGCCCGTATAGTATGAAAGGACCCTAGAACTCGTCCATTTCCATGTTTGTTGATGGGAACCACTTTTGTCCTTGTAGGTTTGGTTGCCCATTGTTGCCAACATGGGTTGGAACATGAAAAGTTGAAAAGAAAACAAATAAGGGGTGGTACCGTGTGTATATCTATGATATTCATAGAGACAACTATATAATACAGTAGTTATGTAATATATATATATATCGGTATTTATTTATATTATACACAATGTATTCTGCACAGTGCCTGTTCAAAATTGGCACCCATTGCGTGGATTGCATACAACACAAATGCAGCCAGACTCGACCGTCTGGGAATGGATCTTCCACCAAATCATCAAGCTTCGAAGAGCTTGTCAAAGAAGCCAGGCTGCAGCCGGAGCTAGACATGGCGCCGGCAATCCAGCGAGGAAAAACAACGTGTCAGCTGGACTGGCTCCGCACAAAAATGATGACTAGAATATCGGCGATGCCCTTTGCTCCTAGTAGCGTCCTTGCTCCTAGTAGTACGGCCAGGAGCCCCTAGTAGCGTCCTTGCTCCTAGTAGCGATGCTCTTTGCTCCTAGAATAACTGCTTGTGCCTTATTGCCCTGGTGCGGAAAACGGCGGTTGGGCATGGATGTTCCAAGCATCAGTTGCAAACGGCAAAACACTCAAAATCACGCAAACTGGTGCCTTTGAATCAATGATGTGACGTCATTCGTCTTGAGTTAAACAATCCCCTCCACACATGTCCATTCTGCAAAATCTACAGGCCATGTTCCAAAGATTTGTGCAGTATCACAATAGTGCTATCATTGCATTAGCAATTGTTCGAACTCGAAATCCCCAATCCTGGCGGACAAATCTTCAAGCTTTCTCTTCAAGAGCTTGTAAGGCAAATAGTAGCCTGGCCACATGGAGCATCATCTCATCCGAAATTTCCAACCGCCCAGGGAAGGCCATCAAAACCAATCAGGCCTCCATAGGCTCTTCTTTCGGCAATCTAGAAGGGTGGGGAAGCTCAAATATCAATCAACACTGTTCTGAAGGGGCTCTAGCGGCTATATATGCACGGGAAATAGAGCACTGTGTACTACTGCTGATTCCTGGGAAATCCAAGGCTCTGAAGTGCTGGAACCAACTTGTGTGTCTCAGTCAAATTAGGAAAGAATATCAAGGGCCTTGTGAGGCTTGCACTGACCGCTCCAGTTGAAATCGGTAGCAACTCAGGAGTTGATGTTCGATTCGCAAAGCCTTAACTACCCAAGTAAGAACGTTACTTCCTGCGCGACTATCTGCGGAGAAGCACCTTTCCACTCTGGAAGCTCGTACCTGAGTGGACAACAAGTGGCATAAGGGTTCCAGAGTGAAGTACAGCCAGCGAATGCAAGTGACTTACAGCAGAAAAGTAATCGCCATGCAATTACACCGAAAATACACACCCCCATAAAGTGCAGTGATACATCCTTCTTCAGCGCATCCACACGGCAATTGCACATCCGGCCAATTCTAGCAAAGTTGCTTTGAACAAACTCATTTTTCTGTGCTGGAACAGCTAGGAGTGAGAAGCGCATAGCCGCACGTAGACACACTTGGGTGTGGTAGGATGAATTGCACACACACATACATACACATATATATATATAATCCCCCTTCGAATTTCTGGAGTATGTCGGGGTGGTTGATTTTGTAAGGAAAATGTGCTACAGAATCAACCACCCCAGGTTTGCCAACCTGAAAAGCTTTACAAAATCAAACCCCCCAGGACGCAGGCAAGGGACAACTCTCCAGCCGATATTACAAAATCAACTATCCCAGCCTCAAGATACAGTCTTTACAAAGTCATAGGCACTCTGTCGACATGGCTCAGTACAATTACAAAATCAACCACCCCGAGGCCTCAAACAAGATACAAAATCTCAATCGTTAAACCTGGATTGGAAAAAACAAACGATTTTGTAATGATTCGGCGCGACCTCATCGAGATGATACGATACGATACGATACGATTCGTCTCACAGCTCTCACTCTTCGTCATCACGTTTCCTTTCTTATCTTTCTTTTTTTCATGTTCTCGCAGTGTCCCGCAGATCACTTGCACGAACCTACCCCTCCCTCGCATGCCAGCAACTGCAAGAGATCAACAGATAGATTGAACATGATTGAACAATCCTTGGAACATCTTGGAACAAATCTTGATCATGGATGGTGGGGTTCCCGCACCTGCCATCAAAAGAAAACCAAACAAAGAAAAGCAAATGCAAGTCACCACTAACTCTTTAAAAGGCAGACCTTTCTTTACAAGTTTGTACATATCATAGTTCGTACCACACAGCATAGCTATATTTTGCTTTATCCCCACGTGCGATAAGGACACCGAGACTGGGAAGCATGATTCTGTATAAGTGCCCCTGGGTGCTCTCTTGGTGCCTCTGATTTTGTAAACAAATTAGATGAACCTCAAAGACCGTGAACATATATGAAAGATCATGAAAATTTATGCGAATTATTGAGAATTTATGAGACCATGTTCTACAGCAGCTCAACCCACTACAAAATCAACTGTCCATGCTTTACAGCAGGTCTATCGATTACAGAATCGACTGTCCATGACAACCACCCCACCCTCAAACTTGTATAGAATCAAGGACCCCACCCTCACCAGTGCGGCACTTTTGACATCCATACCAACATATCGATTCCTTACAAAATCAACAGACCCAAGAAAGAATGCTGCCCTTACAAAATTAACCTCCCCACCCCCACAAAAACGGGTACCTGGAAACAATTTTTTTCATTACAATATCGAAGCTCTTTTTGTTACCCAGGTAGGTTGATTTTGTATATATATATATATATACCCTTTCAGTCACCTCTGTCATCCACCTGGCTTCAACAGTGTAGCTAGCTGGGGTTAAAGTGCAAAGAATGGGATATCTTACCACGGCATGAGTCTGAAACACAGAGCTCGGGATGTGTTGCAAATGGTCAAAAGAAGGTTCGACATCTTTTTGTGGTTGCGACACCTCTCACACCTGCGAAGAAATCATCAGTTGAGGACAAGAACCCAAGAACCTACAGGGCCTGCCGCCTGTATGGCCCTCCCAAAAGGGTCCTAGGCAAGGGTCAGGTCGCACCAAAGGAGAAGCCAAAAGCTGCTGACCACACCGAGGATGACCATAGGCCATAGGGTAGTAGAGCAACGTACATGTGGCAAAACAAGAAGCATCCCAGCACGTCACAATATGCAACGACATAGATAGATGTCATGCACCCAAATGCATAGCAGGCTGAAGTGATGGTGTCCACTTTACCGCTTTAAGTTCATTTTTAAGCTTCACAAGGCTGCTCATGGGAGTGGTTTGGAATTGCTACGCGAGATTCTCGCTTGCTGCGCACGCATCATGCGCGGAGTGTACCACTCCGGGTGGCCCAAGCTGGGCCAACATGGGCCCAAGCTAGGCCAACATGGGCTCAAGCTGAGCCAACATGGGCCCAAGATGGCCCAAGCTAGACGCAAGCTATGCTCAACATAGCCCCAAGACCGCGCAACAAAGGCTCCAGATGGCCTCAGCTAGACCCAAGCTGTGCGCAACATAGCCCCCCAGCCCGCCCAACACTCCCTCAGCCTGCACCCGGACCCAATCTTCCACCCTCCAGCCCCCTACCTCAACGCCCCTGGCCGGCTGTCGGGCGTAAGCCCTTAAATAGAAGGACGGTGTTCCTTTTTTTCACTTTTTTCACACGTTTCTTAAGTCTTGGCACTTGCACCCCCAAAAGTGCAAACATTCAGGGGCTATGATAAATGCAGCAAGTGAGAATCAACGTTCAAAACTGGCACCTGGGCCTGGTGAATTGTATACTAAGTTTGGGAGTAAAAGCAACTAAAACAGAGTTAAACAAGTGAAAGAAAAGAGTACGACAATACATAAACGAATATAAGATAGGTATAAATAGTACACCATCAGGTCCAGCACCGCCTCTATCCACCTATGAGAAATCGGATTCCTGCACATACCAAGCCACTCTTCCAGTTGCTTGCCAAACTTCATGCTTGGAGGCTACTCGGCTAAGATCTGGCACAAGGCTGGTTCACGCGTCACTGGCACGTCACTGGTGTGCAAAGTGACAACTATCAATTAAAAATATATAGTTTATATAAATATTATATGTATCTCCAGTAAAGCCAAGGCTTCAGTCAATGCCTACGCTATCTCCGTTCTAGTCTCACACTTGAACCCACATATCTCCGCAAAGAGTGCAAAGATATTTATCTAAGTCACGATGTGGTCAACTCAAAAGTAACATTGACATCGACCCCCTGGCAAGAAAGCACAAATGCAAAGCAGTTCCTGTGTATAGTCCAAGGCCTATACTTAGAACATCTTTTGGAACAATATTTTTGTTATGCGCACGTTCTAAGTCTTAGGGTTAGAACATTCTGATGCATGCGTCTGGCACCATGGCTTTGAACGTTGTCCTTGAAAAAGGTTGAGAGTGGATCAATCAAAGAATTTGGAGAAGGTTACAGTATATAAGTGTATATATAGTATTACCAGCATGTACACATATATACAGGTGTGTGTGTCTGATGTTCTAAGCCTTGCATCCAAGTCTTGAGTCCACATGTTCTAAGTCTTGAGTCCAAATGTTCTAAGTGATGACTAGTACCAATGTTCTAAGTGTAGCTGCAAAAAGGTTTTGGAAAACATTGATGTTCTAAGTGTATATATATATAAATGTGTGTGTGTGTGTCTTTGACTATAAAGAAGTGACATGCTCTGAAGATTCTTGATTCTGGACTATTTTGTTGAAATCGCCTGCAACCCCGAGCCTCCGCCAGCCATGTCCCTTTCGCTCCAAGGGTAGTAGCATTGCAACGGACCGCAGCTGACAGAACGCCAAAAGCAGGCTTTTCTTGATAGTACTGACAGTGTTGGGTAGACCTTTTGATGGTTATGCAGCTGATTCCAGAACTCCAAGGAGGCTTCCCGGCTTCTGTACCCAATTCTGATCAATTCTGGTAGCTGGCTGACCAATACCCGCGTTCTCTCCGGATGCAAGTGTGGAATCTGAAAGCATGCTGACTCTGGTCAGGTCACACATACACCAAGCCTGATGGAGCTAAGACGCTAAAATGGCTTATGTATCTACATCCCACTGTTGGGTACAATCTCCAACTCGAACTCGAACAACTAAATGGCTGTCGTTGTGGTGGCATTGCTTGGGAAAGCGAGAGCTTTCTCTGCTCTTCCCCAACGCAGGCCCAAGAATGAAGTTCTCAAGTCACATGACATGCACATGTTATCACACGTTTACAGCTTTCAAGCAAGGCAACCCAATTACAGCATATAACGTGTGTGTGCATAGTCTCTGATCTGGTTTCTGTAGCCACATGACGTCTCAAGAGATACTGCTGAAATTTCATCACACTGGAAGACGACAAACTTTGGAGATAGAACCAGGAAGAGCATGAAGCCGCAGTACGAATCTGGGGCCAACACTTACTCCATGCTGCTGAGGCAATCTCATCTTGGCTTCTGCAGCCATCAACTAGGGCCCCTTGAACTGTGCCATTTTTGGTGGGCACCTTGGCCAGCATCAGTCCGGTTGATATGAATCTCATTCTGCCTCAAGTTTGCAAATGAGGCAGCCAACACACTATTTGCATGTGTTGGCTGGGTGCATGAGATGTGGCACCGCTGCTACAATGCATCCTTTTCCCCCGCGAGAATGCGCGATTCCAACTTTAGGGCCCCGTGTGCTCCAGCGCTGTTCGCAACTCCCGATAAAGAAGCCCTGGACGAGGGCAAACATGTCGTTCTGAGTTTGGGTGGGCTTTTTCATGACAACCTGGGCTGCTGGAGCAAGTGCTGGAGCAAGCCGGAGAACCCTGAGAATGTAGCAGGACACGCCCGAATACCAATCACGTAGTCTCGTAGTGTCACGTACCGTCTGGCTATATGAACTCCTTTCGAAGCCACACCAGTGTTGCAGAATAGCAATCATAGCATTCAGCGCCACACTGTCAAGAACTGCAACTGCTTGTGATCCTTACCATGGCAAGGACCTATCTGCTGCTTCAAGCTGAAGGAGGCGGCAATAGACCTGCAACATGCCAGGCCATGAGATCATGCAGGTCCCAAGAATGGTCTCCAACGCCACAAAATGGTTGATGCATGTGAAATCGTGCGGCATCCGTTGATCTGATGTGTGAAGTGTTCTTCAGCAAGGAAACAGTCAATCCATTGTTGTGGTACCTTCTTCCTGACGGGTCTTTGCGCCTGGGCTGCGGACACGTGCTTGAGCCTCCAGGGATCCTTGGGCTGCTGCTGTGCGAAACCAATGCCTTCAGCAAGGCAGCTAATGCAGGAAATGCTCGTCAACGCGGTGATTTGTTCGAAGCACACCACAAACTGTGCTTCGGCCATCAAGAGGAGGACTTGAAATCAACTGGACATGTGCCACGTGACAAAGTACATCGAAGCACCTGCGTCACCTCTTTCACCTGACCCAACACACCCAACCTTCTACCCTTTTCAGGAGCCCGGAATTCAAAGGATGGCGTGCCAAGGTGCTGCGCTTGTGTGTCACTTCGCGGCACCTTGGCCAATTCAGCGGGTGTCAGTTCATATGTCATAGGCTCAAAGAATAGTCCAACATCGTTCCAAGCCAAGCGAGGACAACACCGTTCAATGGAAGAGGCATGTGTCAAGCCTTTTGCTGTTAAGACAAGAAGCAAACAGCCTGTCAGGGCAGTCTATCTATCTATCTATCTATATATATATATACTAGCATCATTTCGCCGAGTTGCACCTTCCCCCAGCTCATGCATGACCTAAGCTTCACTCTTAGAGGGGGTCAACATGTTGCCCCCGACCTTCACTGGGCCAAAGCTTTGGGGCACCGATGGGAATTCAAACTGAATGTTGCTTTATTGTCTGGTTGGGCTAGACTTATACGTAACGTATTTGATCACGCACATCTATACAGTATATAAATATAGGTCTATACATATTTGTTGAGCGGGCTACATATACTATAAATAGTTATATGAAGATGATCATTGGAGTAATTACCTGCTAGTCGAAGATGTTGGATTGTGCAACAGCGCAGGACCCAGCAAAGAAACAACTGTCTATTGCCCCCCTGAGGTCCTCCATAAACTATCACATTTGGCCCTGGACTCACAACTTGAGCCTATTCATCATTCAACCATGGCAAGTTGCGGGCTTTTATGAGTCGCACAGTACACAAGCCCCGAGTATCACAAACCATGCTCCTCCAAAAGAGTTCTGCAAGCCTGCGTGCACTAGCTGTGCGCCTTCCAACATCTCTCTCCAATCTGCGAGCCTCTGCTAGCCTCTGCTGGACTTAGATACCTTCCATCACCTGCTGACATCACTTCTGGGAGCTCGACGCCAAGGCTGTACTGGGCCGTCACATCCTGGGAGTGTGTATGGAGTCGAAAGGCAGAAATTTACAGAAAGGATCTGGACATACACACAGTTCGTGGCTCTGACGCATGGAGCCAAACCAACTACAGCAATTCATTCATAAAGATTTGAACTCAGTCACTCAGTCTATTTTCTTTACACTAGGATCAGGCTGTGCGAGGCTACCAGGAGGACGGTGCCTTAAAAAAGGCCGCTTCTTTTCAATTGCCAGTCCGGCGTAAGATGGATGCCAATGGTCAATTCTATGCACAAAAAGCACTGACGTAGCTTCAACATGTATAGTCTCCTTGCTGCTGAACGGGCCCCCAGGTACCATACTATTTGCAAATTGATATTGCACCAGGCCATGTCCTGTCCCTACAGCTCGCATGACTCCTGTGCAATTCTATAACATGCGCGTGGCCTGAAGTAAGTCTTCCCCCCTGCTGCATCCAAGCAGCCACTAATTACTGTGTGAAAGATGGACGTTTGCAACTTGCGTGCGGCTTCAACACTTTTCCCTTCAACCTGATCCAGGCCAAGTGTCTCCCTGTTCGGCCGCTCTGCGAAAAAAGCTAGCTGCTTTCACCAGGTCTCGTTGAACACCATCACCACTAAAGAAGCAGGATCCCAACTGAGATACAAAAATATCCAACAACTTGAGCATGCAAAAAGTGCTCGATGTGTCTTAAAAGAGTGCGCCCGCAGCTCTATGCATCTCCAAAAGTCTGACAATCATTGAGATACATTCGGAAGCAAAAGCCAAACAAAGCCAAGTATCAAAACACTCTGCTTCAGCAAGCCCATGCTGCGCTGCTTTCTCAATGTATTGCATCCCTTGTGGCACGTCCATCTCAATTCCTTAATTACAAGCAAAGGACACCCACACCCCACACATGGGTGAAACTTGCGTCCGACTGACCCCATGCAAACTGAAGTCCCAAAAGCTATGCTGCTTTAGCATTTTGTCCAAGCGAAACATGTCCCGTACACCTCACCATGCATATCGTATGTCAGGTGCAATGTTCGCTACTAGGGGCTCCTGGCATCGATCTTTCCTTGCAACATGATTCGCACCTTGGGCGTGATGGAAGGGACACATGAGTGACGCCCCAGGCCAAGGCGAGGAACCCAGGCCACGCCGCAGTGCAAGGCCAAGCCTAGAGTTGAGAGGCTGAGCTTGGTTCTGGGGGCTGAGTGTCTAAGACTCTGGGAAACCAGGAAAGGTTGGTGGCGTAGTGGATGACGCTCCACTGTTTGCTGTGGAAAACGTAGAGCAACAGCAAATTGTGGCCAACAACATTCCACAGGAGCTTTGACGTCCCACCCTGAGGTTTGCAGACCCTGAAACTCTACAGCTTGCTGATAATGAAGCACGTCAAAAAGAATCCGAGCATAAGGTGCTCTGCTAGTAGTTGCTAGAAGAAGCTAAGCATCAGCCAAAGTGCTTGAATTGAGCTGCGTCCAAATCCGCCTGGGCTGCTTTCCTCGGAACTGGGCTTTTGGGCTTTGCGCGTGTCTTTCCCCCCAAATCACCGCCCCCCCAACTTCATCCACAGCCATGTTGCTGGAAAAGCAACACAGCGGCCTCCAGGTCTTGTGGAAGCTCTGCATCCCAGAACCTGTGCCAACAAACTTACAACTTGCGCAAACTTGCACTCATACCTGGACTCTGGTAGTTCCAGACCCTACAGCACAAAGAATGTCAAGTCAAGAACTAGCGATACAGCAAAGGGCACAGCATGGTCCCATGGTCTTGGAACTCTTCTTTTCCTTTGTCTGCCATCAAGGCACATCTCTCCAAGGTTGAATTGTGCTTCTGCATGGCCACGGGCACCGGCCTTCTCGAACCATTGCGCTGCTTCCTAGAGAAGACGAAACGACCGGTGCACGCCACCACATGTAATTCCAAGAGAAGTTTCTCACTGTCAACCAATTCAGGATCTCTCAGCCTTACCTTGGAGCACCCTTAAATATTGCTTGTGCCTCACTGAATCCTCGCCCCTCGCCCTTCTGCCTTTTCAGCTGGAGGACCGCAAAGTGAACGAAGGAGAATCAAGCATCGAATCACTGCTCCAGACATGTATGCAAATACATCTTGAAACACACAGAAACCTTTAAGTCTTGCTCACCCCTCTTAGTCACAGAAAAGCACCCAGAACAGCACACATTGTCATTACCTCCCTCCCTGTCCTCCTTCCGGATCTCGACGCCCAAACCATTCCGAAGCATGGTGCCCACGCCTGCGGGACATTGTTCACATGTGGCATGGAGAGACAACACATGCATTGCATCATTTGCATCCAAGTCTCAGTTTTGTGCTTCTAAGTGTTCCAAGTCAGCAGCTTTTTGGATCCAGTGAAATGCTTTGGACATATCCTGAATCGTGAAACGCGTGTGCTCGAACTGCTGCAAATCCAAACGCAGCACCGTCGCAATCAAACCGCCTTGTCCACGCCGTTTGCGGTGACATACATCACCTCAAATGTGTTGCCAAGGTTGCTTCGTTTGTGATCTGCATTTTGTTCAAGGGCAGCTGCGAACTTTCCATTTGGGTGGTTTGGGACTGAGTCCATTTATTCACGACCAAGCTTCGCCAAGCTGAAACATCGACTCAGCAGATCCAAGGTCTGCTTGGTCTTCCAGGGACTTGGCGGCTTGGAGACCTTGTTCCGTTGCACCACCTCGGTGTCTCGTCGTATCTCGTCGTGTCTCGTCGTGTCTCGTCGTGTCTCGTTTTGAAGTCACTTCAAGTAGGTCACAACATCACAACATCAAGCATCGGATTCCAATCCAACGCAGTTGGGTTCAAGACACCAAAATCGTAGGCAGCAGCTTCTGCTTCAGCAACCCTGAAGTTGTGAGAGAGAGAGAGAAAGAGAGCCGCTAACGGCAGCAATTATTCAATGATCAAGTCATGTGTAGTTCTGAATCAATACAACACCCATCGTGAGAGAGAGAGAGAGAGATAAATTCCCTTCAGATTCTACAATCGTTCAGCCAATGAGCGAAAAAAGGTCCGATATAATCCGATCATGTCCGTTGTTACTAGTAGCGTCCTTGCTCCTAGTAGTAATGCCAGGAGGTACTTACTAGTAGCTTCTTGCTCCTAGTAGCGATGCCCTGGTTACTAGTAGCTTTTTGCAAATGTGCGGAGATTCCCTGCATGCGGTCTGGACACGTCTTCTCCGCCTCCTCTTTGGCCGGGTCTGGCCAGGGGCCTGATGCGGCCATGGCCCGCCAGCAACGTGCTGAGACGCTTCTACTCAGCAGCTGCTGTTGTAGCTCTTCCCAGGACTCAGCTTCGACACAGACATTCAGGATCTTTCATTGATGCGTTGGACTGCCAATATTTGCCACCATTTCTTGGTGTTTTCAATGCGACATTCCTTCTTTCCAAACAGGTCCTGAACATCCTGAACACATTTTGAGCTCACCCAGGCCTATGCATCCTGTACTAGTAGCCGCCGCTAGTACCCCAATATTTCTTTCAACCAATGCTCTTTGGTGGGACCCGTAGCCGACCGTACAGGACAAACAGTAAGGAGTCCCTCCTCGTAGCCCGTGTCCTTAAACTTGAGGCCAGGGGGAGGAGGTCGAAAGCTAGCCGAATCGCACCGGATGTGCTAGTTACACAGTCGGCAAAGCATGTAGGGATTACATGTTTTGGGAGGAAGGTTGCTATGTACATACTTTGCGCTAAAGAATGTAAATGTTGCATCGCTGACTGGAAAGGGTACATTGGAACAACCCGGGTGCACTCGTCGGCAGGCACGAAGATGCGTGATCGGCAAATCTGGGGGGTAAATTTACCCTCCGCTTTTGTATGCCTTGAGTCGGAAAGAGGGGTAAGCATTTCTGACATCATACGGACTGTACATACACTAGGGCGTCCGTAGTGTAGGAGAAGCACTGGCATCACAAGGACTGTGCATACACTAGGGCGTCCGTAGTGTAGGATAAGCACTGGTAAAAGGTATAAGGAGTAGAGTGTCTTGAGGAAATAGTCGGCTTATGGTTATGGCAAATCTGGGGGGTAAATTTACCCCCCGCTTATGTATGCCTTGAGCCGGAACGAGGGGTAAGCATCACAAGGACTGTGCATACACTAGGGCGTCCGTAGTGTAGGATAAGCACTGGTAAAAGATATCAAGAATAGAGAGTCTTGAGGAAATAGCCGGTGTATGGTTATAGCACGCCTGGGGGGTAAATTTACCACCCGCTTATGCATGCATTAAGTTAGAAATAGGGGTAAACAACTTGTAGCGGTGAAGTACAAGTCCTATGCAGTAAGCAGCAGCCAGCAGCAGCAGCAGCAGCAGCCGCCTGCAGCCAGCAGCCAGCAGCAACCGCCAACCAGCAGCCAGCCAGCAGCACCACGCAGCAGCAGCGCAGCATCAAGCCGCATCAGCAGCAGCACCACCGGCAGCAAGCAGCAAGCAGCAGCAGCAAGCAGCAAGCAGCAGCAGCAGCGGCGTCGTCAGCAACAGCAGCAGCAGCACCAAGCCGCAACAAGTAGCAAAGCAGCAGCTACAAAAGCGGGAACCAGCGGCAGCAGCAAACAGCAGCAGCAAGCAGCAGAGCGGCAGCAGCAGCACCGTTTACACCAAGCCACCGTTTACACCCAACCAACCACGTTCAGACGTTCAACCAACCCCCTACACGGCGCGCAGCTGGGAGTCGAACCGGAGGGGGGGGGGTGGTTAGCGTGATATATCAAGCTTTAAGGCACACAGCTCATCCCACTACAAATTGCTAAAGCAAAGAAGAACTCAGCTAGCATGCTAGCTTTCGTGACTTGTTCTCAGACTACTTATTCGATCTTATTCGGATATGTGAACACAAGGTCAATGAAGAGGTTTAAGGGAGCTGATCCCATCGTTCACATCTCTTGGGCGCCATCCTTCTTGGTTCAAGGCTTGTAGAAGGAGTTGCAGTCCGCAAATTGCGCGGAAGAATGCTACTACTGATTGAGTTTCCAGTGGTGGGAGCAAATGAATCAAACTTATTTCAACGGACCTGGGCATCATGACCTGACCTGACCTGAAATGGTGTCTTTGATTGTGCCTTGTCAGTCGCCTTACAGCTTCCCGTGGGCCGTTTCGTATGAGACAGTGCGTATCAATACTGTCAATATTTTCTCGACATGTCTTAACATTGCAGGGGGTTCGGTTCGCACGGCATGCTGATCATGTTCTGAGATCTCACAAATGTAGTCTTACTTTAACATTTGTTATTGGTTATATATAGTCATATAATTTTTGTGCGGGTTTGCACTTTGTGCAAGAATACTCCGAGCTTGGGTGAGAGGTCATGTTATGACGCCCTGTTGTGGTGGCAACTGCTTGCGACGAGCTGCTGGGAGTGTGTCCTGCACACAAGGAGGCCACCGCTGTGGATGCTTCCGCAGCTGCTTGAGTGTGGCCTCCAAACGCCCCAGCACAGTGTCCTCAGCCTTGGCAATAACTCACATCGGATGACCCAATGGAGACAGGAAACGGCCAAGTACAAAGCAGGTACTTTCCAATTTTCAACAACCGAAAGCGCACGAAAACAGCCTTCGTTTGACTTCAGAATGCGCAAATGGTGCGCATGGCGCCTGAGGACCATCGTTGCGCAGTCCGGAGTCGATGCACTGGCCCAAGCCCAAGCCGACCTGGAAAGCTGTGCAGAGGGTCAAAAGAAACCCAGCTCAAGGAAACTTCGGATACCGGTCTTGTAACATTGCTGGCTTTGCTGGTTCATGCTTTCACTCACTAGCTGTAACGCTGTAAGCAGTGAAAACTGCCAAAGCTGATCTTGCAAGACTGAAACGGCCTGGCGCTCTCTAGCACACAAGCCCTTCATTGCCACCTCGTGGCTGGCAACCTTATCTTCAGATCGTTGGTGATTGTCACGTTCTCATCTACAGTCCCGCACTTTGCCCCAACTCCTCTTTGCAACGCCTGTTGCTTTTGGCTCTATCACTGGCCCAAACAGTTGAACACACGATTAAAGAACGGCCGTGATGGAAGGCACACCCAAGTGCTTACCCAGGCCACTGCATCGAGGTCCTTAGCAACAAATAGCTCACGGCTGAAGGCGTGAGACTCTAAATTCCCTTTGCCTTTATATTCCATGTCACTCAACCTCTTTCTTGTGGCAATTGACTCATAGGCTCATAGGGTTTGAATGCTCCAAGCTCCTTCTCAAAATAAACTCAGATTACACCAGATTCCCGTCCAACTGAAGAAGGACACGGCCTACTGCTTCGCATTGTTTCTCCTCCGTCACGGCCACTCAAACCACTCACGACCACTCTTGTCGGGTGGCCACGCGTGCGACGGCTTGGGCACGGTCTGAGAGAAGGGCCTTCGCCGCGGAGGTGGCGGCTTCGAGGTCTCCAGACGCCCCGAAGCCAGGACCGAAACTGGCCGAGCCTTGTCGGGCCTTAGATGCTTTGTTTGCCCTAAACATGAAAGGCCTCAACATGAAAGGCCCTAAAATGCCCGCGATGCCCTAAACAACTGTTCAATCACTGAGAGCCATGATCCGAAGGCCTTGGCGCTCACGCTTCACTTTAAAACCAGCCATGGTCACAAGCAAAGGTCTTCCCCTTGAATCGAAACTCTTCCCAAGTCATCCCAAGTCTGCAAAGTGCAGCTGAAACACAGCGCCGCCCAGCAAGAAGGCAACCAAAGGCTCCTCCTCTGCCTCCACACCAGGAAATCGCGTGTAGCTCGGGCGGTCTGCCACGTCTGCGGCGAAGAGTGCAAGTCCACAGACGGAACCCTCTGGCAGGTCAAAGATGCGACAGGCATCTCCTGAGGCGATGAGGGCTATGGTGTTTCCTGTTTCAATCGAGGTCGAAGATGGTCACAAAAGTCACAAAAACCCCAACCAAGCTTGCTGAATTACAGTGAAGCATCTGATGTCGTCCCATAGGCCTGCCAGCGCTTCACTTGACTCTTCATCTCTCTGCTGCAGCTTCTTCCTCAAAGAAGCCAGCATCTCCGGACAGCCATGACAGTCTTCGAACATGGACCCAGTGGATCACCTTAATCATTAAATAAGTATATAATTCTCTCCCGCTTTATCCCACAAAGGAGCAAACCCACTGAGGGATCCATCCTCAACTGTAGAAGATCCTAAACAACTTGAGTTTTGAGTGCTTGCACCTGATACCCCTCAATAGCCCCTTTAGCATGCGGCACGGGTTTGAGTTCATTCCGCTTTATACATGTCCGCTCGCGGAGATTTGCACAGGCAAGTTGCAATGGCTCGCTTGTCTGCATCAATTCTGCAACAAGTTGCCCTTCATCTGGTGTCAAGCGAATCTGAAGTACACCTTCTTGTTCGCCTGAGAATGCATGGATTCACATGAGTCACTAGATTTTTCAGAAAGACTGGTCGAAACTGCAAACTTATCCTCCCTATTCCGGTTTGCATCAAGCTGCAGAAAAAACTATGCAACATCATGCAACCGCGCACATATATATATATATATATGTGTGTGTATATGGTACCCCCCCCCAAAAAAAAAACTATGTTCACCTCACTTTTTTGCTGGTATTTGCAATATGTTGTGTCTATTTTTGGTTGCCTTTTGGTCCTTAGCTTTTTTGGGGTACCATGTATATATATATATATGTGTGTGTATATATTTGTGCACGTAGGTTGCATGACTTGTTTGTCCACTTTGGAAGGAATGCATTCAGAATGCGTCCAATGCATTCAGAATGCATTCTTGATCAAAACCCAGATCCAAGATTCCCACAAGACTCCTGGCTAAAATCTTGGAAAAACCAAGATCCAAGATCTAAGATTCCCACAAGACTCCTGGCTAAAATCTTGGAAAAACCAAGATCCAAGATCCAAGATTCCCACAAGACTCCTGGCTAAAATCTTGGAAATACCAAGATCCAAGATCCAAGATTCCCACAAGACTCCTGGCTAAATCTTGGATCTTGGATCTTGGTTTTGGGCAGGATGTTCCCAAATCCAAGATTTTCCACAAGACTTCTGTGCAAATCTTGGATCTTGGATCTTGGTATTGGGCAGGATCTTGGTATTGGGCAGGATGTTCCCAAATCCAAGATTTTCCACAAGACTTCTGTGCAAATCTTGGATCTTGGTTTTGGGCAGGAATGCATTCTCTGGCATTCTCTGGTAGTGACAAAATTGCAAGTACATGTTGATCCTGGAATATTACTGATTACCGGCATTTGTTCCTCATTCAATTCTAATTAACAACTAATTCAACTCTAATTTATTTCTATGAATTTTAGTGCACATACAATTTAACTAAATTCTAAGTCAATTCTTATTCCAATTTAAAATCACTTGTATTTCTATTTAAATGTCTAAGTTGAGTCTAATTGAAGTCTAATTGAACTTTAAATGTAGTCTAATTTGAGTATGTAACATAGTTCTACTTTAAGCCTAAGTTGAGCCTAATTGAATTCTAATTTAAGTCTATTTAGCTTAACTTCATTGTATAGACTTATTCTAATTTACTCATTTCTATTTTAATTCTAATTATGTTTGTCTATTTTAGATCTAATGGAATTCAAACTTAAATCTAAATTTGAATCTGCAACGTGCTTCTAATTTAAATAGAAAATGATCCTACTTGAACTTTATACAATTGAAATCAAATTGAGATTGCAAATTAGATCTAGTTCAATTCTAATTGAACTTAGATTCCAATTTAGTTCTAAGTCAATACTGTTCTACTAACCAAGCTCTAGGTAAACAACTTCAATTCTACCTTAGTTCTAAGTCAATTTCAATTTAAGTAATGGATTGTTATTCAATGTTTTTCTTCAACTCTAATATAATTCCAGTCTACTGTACTTCTAATTTAGTTCTATTTCATTCTATTTTGGGTTCAATTGTAACTTTGACTCTTCCAATTTACTAGTAATTAATTTCTAATGTTAATGCCTTTATACGGTTCAGATTCAATTGTTTTACACATCTAATTTTACACTAGTGTCATTGCAAATTAGGTTTGGTTTCTATATGTCTAATTTCATCCTATATTGATTCTAGTTCAATGCACATGGACTTCTAATTCAGTTTTGGTGTCATTCTAGAGAGTGGGTGTTGCTGGTGGTGAATTTAATTAATTTAAGAAAGCACATTCTTCTATATTGGAAAAACTACATAAAATCTCTCATGTTCAAAGTAACACCACTTCTCTAGAAGTAAATGAGAATTTCACTCAAATTAAACCTAAATTGAAAAAGAATACACTATTAGAATTGAATCTGACTTGTATAGCAATGAAGTTAGAATTAGCTTGAAATCAAATTAAAATTAGGCTTGCATTGAATCCCAAGTAAATTAGAATCTATAGTGATAGACCTTTGATAGACCTTTGAATCAAAATATGATTTACAAATAATTGAACTAGACTCAAATTTGAATTTGAATATACAAAGTAGAGTAGAGTTGAACATACAAAGTAGATTACTCCATCCAAGAACTGTTTAGTAAACACATAACCTTATGGATTTGGACATTTTTGTAGTACATAGTTAAATGAACAAATATGCTTACCAACTGCACACCAGCACTCAGAAACATAGGTTTGTTTTCTTTTGGGGGGGGGCTAGCATATATATATATATGTGTATTACATATCATATATATCAATTTTAATAGTTATACACACATATATATATATATTACATATCTCAATGATTCTGTCTTTGGGCTTGTGGTGACTCATCCTTTTTTAGCGGGCAAACCGACGGCTTGGTACCCATTGGTGCCCCTTCACTCCCCTTCGCCTGCCCAATTGAGGAAATATCTCCTCTGAGCCCAGTTCAACACCATCGTCGTTCCGAGAGGTGGTGCTTCGTCCACAGAGACCGAGACCTGAAACGTGCTGAGACCAGAACCTCCAAACGATCAGCGGTGGATGCCACAAGACGAGCAGCGGATGCAAATCAAAAACGAAGTGAAGTCTTGGGGGTTGCATCCGCTGCTCGAAAGATCTCAAAAGTCATGATCTGAAAAAATGTTCGGTCAAACGGAACATTTGAAGGCCAGGTTGCGGCCAGGGTCCTCTCTGGAGCAACCAGAAACCCGCCAGCTTCTCGAGGAATCGGTCGTGCAAAAAGATCCTCAAAGATCTCCTCACATGCCTGGCACGAAGAAACTCCTATGGTCTAGGAAATTCCGTTTCTTGAGCTCCTTGACAACATAAAAACATCAAAGACCCTCCTTCAAGGACGCTCTGTCTGCAAAGGCGATGCATTGAGGACGGTCGTCTTCTCGCAGCAAACTTCCATGCTCCGCCAGGCTATAATCCTCGGAGATGAGCTCCACGCAATCTGCCTCTGCACAATTTGTTGGAAGGCTGATTCATCTGACTTGCGCTTCTAGCATCTTGCAAATGCATTCATATTCAATCATGTCCAAATTTGTTATCTGACATAGAGACAAGTTATACTGTTTACCGCAAAGATAGAAGATATTCGGGAATTAATTCAAATAGAAGATGCAGAGTTGGGGGTGCCCAGGCAACGTGTCAAATAGAAGATATATACAGTCGCAGAGGTAGCTCCTGAGATCAAATTTGGCGTTTCTTGGTCAAAGCCTCTTGAAGGAGTTTGGAAGCGACATTTCACTGGTATTTACAGCAAATCCTGCTTGTTTGCCTCTAACATGACTCGGGCTAGCCGGCGGAAAATTCTTGGATTTTTGCACCCTATGTCGGCCTATAGGGAGCAACTCTTGCAACATGACCATTTTTGTCTGGACTGGTAGAACATTGCAAAAAAACCTGCAGTTTTTTTGTGTTTTGGGATGCCTTACCATTGACTCATCAAGCGCGCACATAACAAGTCAAATAGAAGATATAAATGAACATAAATGAACATCAAATAGAAGATATTAGTTTTAACTATTTGGTGGGCGAATGTTTACACAAAATTAATTAAGTAATATCTTCTATTTGAATTGCGCTCGGTTTTTTTCCAACTGCAAGCAATCTCTTTGTATATAATTGGTAATGCTTTTAGTATTTGTTGGATTATTATATATATACACTGGTTTCTATTTCATCTCTGAGCTCTGATAAAGATTCTAGCTCTATCTATTGTGGTTTCTATCTATTCTACTTGCTGGCTCTGTCTATACTGCCTGCTAGCTCTATATATATATATATAAATGCACCTGCCGCCACATGCTTTCTTGGGCCAGGCGGGCGATCAGAACCCCCGAAGACTAAAACAGTAAGCAAGGCCCGGTAGGAAAGTCAAATAGAAGATCATTTTCAAATAGAAGATCCACCCCACCAAGCCACATTCAAATAGAAGATATATGTTTTTGAGCAGAAAGTCCAAAATGCAAAAGTAGCTCAAAAGACCAAAAATTTGATCATTTTTAATCAAATAATTAATGGGGTCTTCTATTTGAATGGTACGGATGGCACCCTCCCAGATGCATTTCAAATAGAAGATATATAGCCGCAATTTCTTCTATAATTGAGGTAAACAGTATATACAACTATAGAATTGTATTGTGTTCTTTCTCGAAACGGTGGGATTCACCAGGTTCCCTTTCAGGCTCTGTGCCGCACTCTGCGCCTCCTCAAGGTACTTCTCTAGGGCGTCTTTGAGCCGGAAAACTGCCACATTGCGTGGGAACTCTTCTTCAGACTCTTCCATCTTGGGCCACTGTTCGGCAAATCCTTGGTGATGATCGCAAAACTGAGGAGACGCCGTTTCCATGCCCTCCTTACCCAAACACTCCATGTATGCCATATGCCTACATTGGGGTGGTTTTGGGGGGGTGAGCATCTATGGCAGTCCCATGGAGTGTATGGATTACACATGCAATCAAGGATAAGTCGAATCGAACCGACCACCAGTCACCAGACTTTATCTGACGTCTTTGGGCCTTCGCCCCGAGCCGGAGTGTGTTTTGGAGACCGCACGTTCAAGCTTTTCTTCGTCTTCATCCAAAAACCGGCAGCATTTCATCACACCTACCATACTATACAGAGTATGACTGTGCCACTGTGCCAAATGTGCCAAGAAACCGATGGAGGTCAAAACCTTTCTGAAATGATCAGGAATTTGAGACCACAGCATGCCTTCCAGTGTGGCAACCTCAAGGGTGTCCTAACGATCACGAAACATGCTCCATGGCACTCCATGGGACAATGAATCAAATACAGTAACTGTGGTCCTCGGAGAACTTCTTTGAAGCCTTTCCCTGGCCCAAGCCACGAAGCAATGACACAAACAAAACGCACAGTGTCATACAGCATAACAAAGCCGTATCGTGAGTGTGTTTTCTCCTACACAAAACTTCAGCCCACCAACGTTCTCAACTGTCGTGCCCACCTGCCTTGTAGAGACGGACACGTGCTACTTTGCCAATAGCAACGCCTTGACATTTTCCGGTTCTCTTGTTTGTACGATTTGTTGTGCGGTGTCATCACGTTTGGTTGACTGTGGCAGGAAGTGCCTGCACTCAGCAGCATGGCCAGCCACAACCCTGCTAGAGATCCTCCTGCAATGACCACATCTACACCTGGCCGCTTCTGCGCCTTGAGCATTGAACCTCAGGCGTGGCTGACAAAGGGCATTCTTGTGAGTAGCTTCAAGCCAAGGATGGACGCGTGCGCTCTCGCTTCATTCATAGCCAAAAGTAAGTGGACATAATGACATAGTGATCCGGCATCAAACACATAGATTTATATCCAAATAGGGCCATCAGGAACCCGTTCTCTCTAAGAGCCACACCGACAGCACCAGCAACTCTTCCCGGAGAGACATCGATGACAGTTGCCTCTTTGGTGTCCTGCAGCCATCCTCTTCTATCACTCGGAGCAATGTGCTCTTGTTTCAAAGGTCTTGTAAAAAGTCAGAGCGCAGTTGAAGTGAACATGAAAGTCAAACCAAAGGTTACGCACAGACTAAATGACTAAGTAATACTTCAACTTATTCTGAGTTACATGATGTTACATGTAATGTTTTTAAACATGTGCAATTTGAGCCTGCTAGATTTGCTATAACATGCTGTAAGTGTCTGTGCCGTCCAATTGTGCTCCTTGAGAGGAACGGCACCAAATCCTCGAGGACGAGCGAAGGCCGCAGCATTGATCAACGAAAGGCCGACACCTGAAATGAGTGCAGGGACTTGAACTTGGTCAGCGGACTGCATCGACGGTCATTTTTCCGACTTGTGCATCGATGCTACTTTCAAGACCGCAAGGACTTGTCTGCGGCCCGTATACATCCATGAGGAAATTATGTATATATATATATACGGTTGTGTGCTACATGTACTGATTAGAATTAGAACAGCTTGTTTTGGCTGAAATCTGCCCTTTGGAACGACCAAATTCTGGCCTAGGAGGGCAAGTTGCTGCCTTCTCCCATGACTGCTGCGGTGCTTTCCTTGCATGGAAGGCATTGGCACAACAGGGGGGCCCAAGTGGCCATTGGGTGTTGAGAATTCCTTGGAGCCCATCTGTTGATATCTGTTGTCCGTGTACATCTCTCCAGTCGTTGTTAGTACCGGTGCCAAGTGGTGATGGTAGCATTGAGGCTTTGAACCTCTGCAAGTAAGCTGAGGAACGATGAGAAGCATGCGATGGCGAGACAAACATGGGCCGCAAAAGCGCGGGCTTGCCGCGCAGGCTACCGTTTGTCCATCACGCAAGAAGCCAAACTTTTTCAGAACTTGGAGAAGAACCCAAGGCATTTGAGCTTGGTTGAGCAGCATGGGTGACCCTATAACTATCCGAACTTGAGGGTAAGGTTCCAGTTGCCGCTGCCTGTACTGCTTGATTTCATGCTCTTTGCACTGCTTGCTCGTCCGAATAAAGTTGTTGAAACCGTTGATCAAGATGCTGTGAAGTTTCTATCTCTTACCATCGAGAGCGGTACTCTGATTGTCGCCCCATATGATGGCACAGGCCATCACAAGCCAAGCCCATGAACCGACTCAACTTGATCTGCTACAGCTTTCCGAGGACATGTATGTTCACAAGGAACGCATGGAATCAGAAGTTGGAAGAAGGGCTGATATCATATCTTTGCCAATTGCGACGCATGAAGACCTGCCGCACAGGAAGCCAAGGTGGGCACCATACCACAAACACATTGAAAGAACCTCAGTTGTTGTGTGCAATTGGCAATTGTAAGAGTTCCAAAAGTTGTTCCCGAATTCCGGTGGGAAGCTAACAAATAGATACAAAAAATGTGAACCTGGCTGAATCGCACTGCCGAGCTGCACGACCCCCATGCTGAAGACATCACCCCGTGGATACCAAACACCAGTCCTGAACAGAAGATCTGCAATGCAGTGTGCAGCATGACGCGCAGCTGAGGTCGAGCAATTGAACATACATAGTCTATAATTAGTGATGTGTCTACAGGATTCTCCACATCTAGTAACCAAATGAATGGTGCAAGCGCTTCTTCAAGGAATCTCCTCCCCGCCCTCATCCGTCAAGCAGCTAGTAGATCCTTGGCCCCTTACTTGGTTCACTTACTTAGTTCCTTCTCCTTGGCCCCTACAGGTGGCTTGGTCAGTTGTCTCCGTCATCCGTTGTCTCCGTCATCATCTCCGCCTCCACGTTTCGGGTGGAATGTAGCCGGGCGTGCCACAAACTCCTTCTCGGTTGCTCGTGAACCTTGCATTGAGACGTGGCGCCTTCTTGAGACGTGTTTGATTGATGGTTTTTGTATGTGTTTGTTGTGACCACTAGGTATAACCGGATACCAATGGTAACCAAGGTGGTTGTCCAGCACAGCGGCAGAACCGCTGCGTTAGCTTGCTCTTGTCTGCCCACACCAGCCGAACTGGTAAGTATTACATTAGCCTTTCAGAAAGGGTATGGCAGTTGCATTGGATGACATTATTTAAGTCATTGTGATGCCGCATCACGATAATGCCTGCATCACACTCCTACTTGCCAACCAGAATTGGACCCAACCTGATGCGCAAACCAGGCCAAATGAAGCAGTGAATGGGCAGGCTAAACTGGGTGGGACCCCTTCAACATTTTAGACAAATCCATTGTTGCATTTAGGGATTGGTGCTGGGTGGTTGGTTCACCACGTGACCGCACATGCCAAAACTGTTCATTCAGATATGTAGACATCTGATCAAACATGATCAAATCAAATGCCCTTTCAAAGACACGCTTGAGGTCAAGCCACGCTGTTGAAAGGCCAAAGTCAATCAGGACGACATGGGGCACCTTTCATGGCTGGCCCGGCCAGCCGGGCCACTTTCCAAGCAATCATCGGAAGAGCGGACGGCACGCATGTGTGTTTTTGGAAATGTCGCGGAACGTTTGTGTCAGAGTCAACAAATATTGGTTGGTCTTGTATGCATGCCGTACCCTGAGCAGAATAAGTATATCGCTCGTGTAGTCATACGTTAGTCATGTACCAGGTTGGGAATAGGCGAGAATGATTTTTGAAGTACTTCAAGCACCATCGTACAGCCTGCTTCCAGAAACTTTCTCAAACAGGCTGCCCCGACAAAACACTAGTGCTCGGTCTTCAAGACCAACATGAACCAAAAAATGTGATTTCTGTGAAATTGAGTCAGCCAATATCCTTGCCCGGAAACTTGCCCCCAAAGCCTATGCTCCAATTATAGCATCCGAAACACTCACTCCGCGCAGAAAGTTCGGTGATGAACAGAAGAAATTCCAAACATCTTGGGCACGAGTCTTCCGCCCAGCTTTTGGGAACTGGATGGAGCTGCTGTTTCGGTGGTTCCTTGCAACCCTTCCACCTGGTAATCGCTGGCTGCAATCATGATGTTGGGCTCCTGCTGATGTCTGGTCGTGCCGCCACGTGGCGAAAAGATGCTCGCACATATGATATATAAACAAAAAAAGACCGGTTCTGTTCAAATGTGAAAGTCATTGAAAGTCCCAGTGCGTCGTTGTGTGACATGATGTGACATGTTAAGCAAAAACTGGCGTGTAGCTGTCCTTGATGTCGCAGTGCATTACCCCCCTGTGTATGCAAATAGCAAAGCCTGTGGCAGCGAATGGCATCTGGAAGAATGATGAAGATGAAGAATGATTCTCATGACCTGCTGGACATTTGGCAGTCTGAGAGAAGGACCCTTCCAAGCACTGTCGAAAAAATGCCACGCCACCAGTTCTCGCTGATCCTTGTGGGCTGAAGACTTGGCTTGTGGTGACCTGGCGACCTTTCCCCACCTGACTTTGCTCTGATAGGCATTCTTGCCCAACTTCGTCAGGTCTCCACCGAAGTATGGCTCGTTGACCTGGCATGTCGGGACTCCATCGAACAATTGTTAAAAGTGCCTCAAGAATGCATTCTTGTCCTCACAAATCTGACACTACTCCACGTCCAACACCTTGCAATGATGCCAGGCCCGCAAGATAGTAAAAAGACTTGTCTTGGAAGACCTCCATCCATCGCTAGGCTGAACGGGACAGTCAGGAACACATATACAATAGAGATCATGTTTGATGCCTAGGACCACCTCAACGCAGTCGTGAACACATCCAGAATGTGGCTCTCGAATGAGATCAGTCTGAACATCTTAAAGGCCTCATACGTTTTCGCAATGTGTGGATTGTCCAAGCTGGACATCAGGGCATATTCATCCATCAGCTCCTGAGGCATGGAAGGCACACGCGATCTGCAGAGCCACAAGCTATGACACAACTCTCAGGTCAAAATAAACATCGGCAAATCTAGCACCTACAAGTAAAGTAAATTTGTCGGGCAAGCATCATCAAGACCACCTGCATTTGCATCGGCCTTCCTCAGAATGCAATTGAACAACAACATAAACCGCTTAAACCTATATTAACACACATATATCATATCTATATATAACTTGATAAACACAACAGGGAAGCTATTCCAACTCTGTGGTGTGTCGAGCAACTCGTAGAACTTGATGCAGTATTTCGACCTTGGCCACATGGAATGACTGTGAGGCCTACGACCTACGACTGTGTCGGACACTGTGTTCCTTGATGGGAACCCACATAAACCAATGCCAATAGTATCCAATAGTTGTAAGACTTGGTCATGTCTACATGAACATATCAATCAAAATTACACTCTGTTTGCCGGTAGAATGACCGCGGCTGAAACATGATGCAAACCAGCGCACGTGCGAAACCAAGAGCGCTTTGTACAAAGGTACATGGTCCCCTGTCCACCACGGCCAAGCTCCTATTTCAGCTATGCATACTTAGCTGAACTCGCCATTGAAATTGACTTTCAGTTCTCCGCTCACATGCTGGAACATTGCAAAACACGGCTGGAATATATACATAAATATACACATATATATATATATAATATTCAAACAATCTGAGAACAAAGTCGTTTGGCATGCTCTCCTTGACCACACTGTAGCCTTGAGCAACTACCGAAGAGACTGGCACTTTAATAGGCCGGCGACCGGCCAATTCCTCGGGTAGATATGACATGTGCACGTGAGAGAGGATCAGCGAGCACTGAGAGGTCTTCACCCATTCTTGCTTTCTTGGTTGGACAGCACTTCCATTCGCAGCGCTTTAACACTTTAACATACAAGTAGGCAAGAGCTGCTCACTCAGCAAATGTCGAGAGATCCACGACAGTTTAATACATTGCTTTTGCTCCATTAGACTTGACACGTCATAGCAAGGTAGCAAATCCATTGTGCATTGCTTCATTGAAATTGGACATGCAAGCACAGCTGGAGACGCACAACATAAAGACTGGAGAGTCTACCAATTGCAGTTGTGCTTCCAGTCGCTTGTGTTGCAGTAGTTTCCAAATGATTCGCTTGGCCTTGACACGGCAAGGTTGGAACGCCGGAGATGCAAAGAGGACAACAAAGTGCCTATGAAAGGGAAGAGTCACCAAACTAATAATCCGGCCGACCGGCTAGTTTGAAGCATCATTGACAAAGTCTAAGCTAGTCTAAGCGTTGGCCTCGTCTTCCTCGATCATACCATTGCCATTGAGATCAAAACTGCGACGGTCAAGGCACACTTTGAGACATTTCATTTGGGACTGCTGCTTGAATCTTGGAGGCACTGCATGGAACTTCAACAGCAAGGCCTCTCAAAAATTTGCTCCTTGCCCATGAAGAATTGTGCCGGCAAACCAAGAGATCTGGCACTAGATGTGAGCACTGCCTGGAACTTCCGCATTATTTACAGCAGTTGGCAGTTTTGCGTCGTACAAGTCAACATCAAACATAGTACATAATCACATGTGTCCATTCAATTGCCCTCACCGCGGCAAACATTTATTCTGAATTGCAGGCTGACATGCACCGTGTAGTCATCTACGGTCTCGTCTTCGCTCAACGTGGGGGCGTGGCGTACTCCGCAAATCAGTCTTTCCAGCCTGGAGGTCACTGGCACCTCACTACATCATGAGGTCACCCCAGAGCGAACATGTTGCCACAGATTCAACCTCCTATGGAAATATTATATCACCAGCAAGCTCGGTCCGTTAGTTTATCTGAATATTATACAGTATCCAAATGGTAGTCTATGATCCACTTCAAGGAACTGATTGACCTGGACCTGCACCAAAAGAAACCCGAGTCTCACTACTTGAACCAGGTGCTTGGACAGTTCTTGGAGCTTTGCCAAGTCCTACAAGGATACACAAATCATAATATGTACTTTTACATATATATGAATTCCCGCAACAAGATTCTTAGTTAAGCCTTAGTGTGGGATT